ATCTATAAGAGGAGACAGCACGTTATAATTGTAGCGAGTGTGAACATCAGGAGCGTGCCTTCTCTTTTCATCCAACCACAAAACGTATTTGGGTAAAAGAGAAAGCACGCTCCTGATGTTCCCACTCCTTACAATTATAACGTGTTGTCTCTTCTTATAGATTTACGTTCTTTGGTTAAAATATATTTAAATTGTTCAATATAGTAGAAAAAGGTGATCACGGTGGCACAGAGAATGAACTTAACTTTTCCTTAGGATTAGAGAATAACAAGCACAAAAAATTTTACAGCTCATAATCTTAGATTTGCCTGTGGGGTGATAAAAACAAAAGCTTTGATCAAGATTTTATTTATGTGTTTTTTTTTGTTATTTATGTGTGAGCATACTTTTACACAGTTCTACTATTCCACTATCTACCTAGTGTTCGTCCAATACCACCACGTTCTCGATGCCTGTACTCATTAAAAGTATCGAAGAGATTACTCGCTGCTACTTGAAGTATCGCTAGGAAATACTCAAACAAAAGAAATTTTAATTCAATGCCCATTTACAATATGACTACATACAGTGGAGAAAGGCTTATGAAGAGCTGAAAATGCCGTTTCATATCCTTCTATTTTGAAATGGGGTTACTTCGATGTGCTGAAATAGATGTTAAGTGATGAGAAAGCTCATTGTTTACTTGTGTTTGATTCTTCGGTTTCAAAATGATCTGTATACGATGATTCCGCAAATCATAGGCTGCTTCCACATCCTCCTCTAATTCGATACGATTTTTGTTCTCCACTTTCGTAAGTTTTAACCCTAGCGAAATCGAGTGGTTCATTTTTTTTTCAAAAACTACAACAGATCTATTTTCAGTTGATTTTCCCAGCAAACAAGTAACTACTTGCACTTTGTACTCGATACCCATGAGGTACTTGTACACGGGATCGAAGTACAAAAAATACTCGGTACTTAGTAAAGGTACTCGAGTACTTGAACCAATTAGAGTGAGTTGGATCATGGCTCGAGTATAAACTTCTAAAGCCGAAATTAGTCAAGAACGCAGAACGTATACTTAAACGCAGAATTTTGTCGATTACTGGAGCCCTCAGTGTTGCTTACTACAGTGTTGCCAGTCACAAATGCCTTTTCATAAACTTACCTTTTCAACTACAATTTTTCGTGCTATAATAGATCGTAGCTAAATATAAACTACTTAGTTTTCAACATAAAACTTTATTCAATAGTAAATTTCAAATATTTTTTACCATTTTCGAAACTGACGAAGTGGCAACCATCTATAGAAGGAAGAAATCAGCGGTCACTGAAAAATCTAACTTCCGTAGATTTTTGCGCTACGGGCTACAACTAAGAAAAATTCTGCGGTGTTGAGTTTTCATTTACATGGCGCTCTGGTAAGACAAATCGTGTCAGCTGACTCGGGGAACACGTACCGGTAGGTTTACGATCTTCACTAATTTCAACTTAAAGCCCTGTATGCAGCTCTCAAGAAAACGGTCAAGAATAAATTGCCCTTATTTCGCGTGTGTGTCCAAGGAATTTGGACATTTTTGATACCTCACAGCCTGTTTCCTCACTCTTTCTTCAAGAAATAATGGAACGGGCATATATTTCTGTTGCAAACCTGGGTTGCCTTGTGCTCTTTTTTCACAAAAACTTTAGAAAACCGTAGTAGAAAGCGTAGTAAATTTCTTAGGAACTGCGTACTGCCTTAAGTAAATTTGACTCAAGAAAATTTCTTAGCCATTTCTTGTACGTCATTTTATATGTAGTTTTCCTTTTCTTGAGAGCTGCATACAGGCCTTAATAAGTGCTGATATCGGAACATCACTATATCTACCGAAGAAATCGATTTGTCGGACAGTCGACTTTTAAAAGCATTAAAATTGTACCATTTTTTATATCGAAATATTTTCGACATCCCTATTTTCAAATTGTTCTGTCTTACCAATATATAATCGCACATTCTACAAAACTATTTTTTACCGACTAAAACTTGAATTATCAATACGGCAGTGGTGAAAAGTTCAGATGGATTTATCAAATATATGCCGTGCCTGTTTGTCGCCGGAAGATCGGGTGCATCTGCTAGATTGGTATCAGCCTGTTGACTCTTTGGATATATCATACAAAGAGTGTTTTTTGTAAATGTACACAAATTAATTTAAGTTTGAAAGATGATCCAAATGAACTCGATGATGCCCGGATGCAATATCTATGCTTTGATTGTGCCCAAAAACTTAAAGACGTTTATGATTTTATTGAAAAGGCGAGAAGGGCTGATAATGAATTACGTTGCACACAAACGGAAAAAGTGAAGATAGAAAGTATAGCCAACACTTTTGAATGGGTTCCAGTACATGAAGAGCTAATGGAAGTAACTAAGATGCCAGATACTGTAGATATGGTATATCAAATACGATTTAGATATAATTAAACAATAATTATTTTCTATTTGTTTACAAGGATCACGTAGAGGATATAAAAGTATCACCAGAATGGAATGAACATTTTATGGATGATGATGAAACATCTGCATCAAATGATATCGAACACGAAATAAATATTGATAAAAAACTTAGTACTGACACTACAAAAACAACAAAGTTTCTAGTTGAATCGGATAAGGATATGCAGAGCAGCAATAACTTAAATGAAGCTGGGCTGGTCTTATCGAAAAAAAGTAAACAACTCAATCTTGCTCATACAAGACCTAAAAACGTAAAGAAAACAAACAAAGTAAAATCCGAGGTGAAAACAAAAAAGAAAGTCAAGGACATGTCTGAGCCGGTGAAGTGTGAAGAATGTGGGAAAATCATGAAGAGAAGCTCATTAAAAAAACATAAGCAACGTCATAAACCAAAAACTTTTCTTTGTCAGGCCTGCCGTAAGTATTTCCGTTCCTTTTAACTCGTGGACTAATTTCTATCTTTGTTGAATTTATCTTCGCCAGCCAAAACATTTAAGGAGTCATGTGCCCTAAAAAATCATGAGCTCTGTCACAATGAGAATCGGGAAAGATTTCCGTGCGACATCTGTAACCAAAGCTTTTTAACTACGTATACATACAAAAAACATAGGCTAACGCACGAAACCAACCGCAAACCAATATATCAATGTGCTCAGTGTGAAAAATCATTTCTTCATAAAAATGGTCTAACAATCCACGAGCTCCATCACAAGGGAGCTACGATAGAATGCCAAGTTTGTCAAAAACGTTATGTGCGGCAAATAGACCTTGATGTTCATTTACGCACTCATTCTGGAGAATCGCCATTTGTGTGTCACCTGTGTGGAAAATCTTTCATCCACAAACGTATTTTAAATAGGCACATGCAGTACCATGGATATTTTAGTTACAAGTGCGTGATTTGTGGTGCTAAATTCTCCAAATATGATCAATACTATAATCATCGCATGCAACACACTGGATTACCTTATAAATGTGGCGTTTGTGAAAAGCAGTTTCCAGATGCTTACAAGTTAGTAATAAAGTATGATTATGCCCTACATGTACATATATGTATATGTGTATGTATATAATTTTTCAGGATTAAGCGTCATATAAGAGGTGTGCACAAAATTGAAGAAGACAAGGAGGTGCAGAAACTCGTTGTAAGAATAAACATAACAAAAGAATATAGAGGACGAATAGTCGAAGTTTTGGAGAAACCAGAAGTTGAAAATAAATAAAATTTTAACTCATATAATAATGGTAAAAGCTGTTTATATCAATTTTGTAATTATTTAAGAATACATATATCCTTAACGATGCCGACGTATAATATCTATGTACAGATGTACGTACATGTTTGAAGATGCTTTCAATAAAAAATAATGAGTAAGACGGAAAAGCCTCACTAAAAGAAAGCGGTAAAACCAATAAGGGCCAGTTTTTCAGTGCACCGCGGTAGTTTAAACGCTTGAGCTGACTGGTTTAAACTAATTTTAAACTGGTACTGAAAAACCGGACCGTAGTTCGCAATCGAAAGGATGTATTAATGAGCCAACCGACAAATAGATGGAACACAAAATCTTAATGCATCATCGAGCAATTCTAGCGCAGCTTTTTGTGTATGTATATAAAGTGTTAAGCCGAATTTCCACTAGGCATTAATTAATATGAGAAAAAATGGTGACATTTAAAAAATTTCATGTGAAAATGAACGGGCGATGAGATTAAGGCCGCCTTCTTATTTGTTTGGAGGCCTTATTGCATTTTTTGATCGCGGCCTAACTTCACTTGCCAAATGAATTATTTCCGCGCGGCCTAATTTCACTTGTCAAAATGAATTATGCCCACGCGGCCTAATTTCATTTTAAAGAAAGGTGTTATCTGCAAAAGGTGTTCCGCGCCCCTCGTCGCCGGTAACACAGAAAGGAGAATTCTACTTAGCGAGGGTGATAATCCCTAAGCGCGGCCGAAGGCCGCCTCCGCAGAAAGGTTTTCTCTGCAAAAGGTGTTCAGCCCCTCTTTTCGGCAGCACAGAAAGGAGAATCATACTTAGGGAGGGTTATAATGCCTAAGCGCGGCCGAAGGCCGCCTACGCAGAAAGGTGTTTTATATATGTATATCAAATTAAATGTAATTACTCGTATTTTCTAAATAATCTGCCTTATCCCGAGTTTCGCCTGAAAAAAAAAAATCACCCGAAAATTTGTCATCCGCCCATAGTAAAACCATGGAAACCAAAAAGTGAACCGGTTCAATATAAATTTCCTTAGAATTAATTATGCATTTCTTTCAAAAAAGTTTATTTATGAAAAAAAAAAATTTTTTTTTTTCGTTTTTGGTATTTTTTGCTAATGCCCGCGCGGCCTATATTCAGTTTTTGATCGCGGCCTAATTTTGGCAGTCAAAATGAATTATGCTCGAGCGGCCTAGTTTCATTTTTGGATCGCGGTTTTAATACGCGCGGACATAATTCACGGAGCCGAAATGAACTTGACAATATTTCTTAACGTAATAAGGAATAATTTTTAATGCCAAACTCTATCATTAAAATGTTTGCCTTTTAATGCATACTAATAAACTAAACTAAACTTAGCAACCATCAAGGGTAACCTAACCCAATAAATATACATACATATATGTACAACTAATCTTAATATAAACTGTTTGGCTCTCTTATCGGACGTTCGAATTTTTTTTCACACCTTGATGGTGAGTTTATTGATTTGCGAATCGTCTTCTACTTTGTGTACACATCTGATATGTCTTCGTATCCTAAGGATGAAAGATAATGCTGCAACACTAAGTAAATATATTAAAATGGGAAATCATAACTTACTTATTGGGCTCGGCAAATCCTCTGTCACATATTGCACACTTAAATGGGAGACCAGTATGATGTAAGCGATGCCGGCTAAGTTTTGAGGGGTGTGAGTACTCTTTGTTACAGATGCCGCATTTATACCGGATACCGTTATGAAGTAATTCGTGCTTTCTTAAAGCACTGGTAGTCATAAAAGCCCTTTCGCACAATGGACATTGATATGGCAATTCCCCGGAATGATTACGCATATGCACTTCCAAATCTACTTTTCTAACATATCTTTTCAAGCAAACGCTACATTCATTTTTGGGTTCACCGTGTTTCTGAATGTGGAGGGTGAGACTGCCCTTGTGCAGGAATACTTTATCGCATTGAGTGCAGTGAAATTTAGATTGACGGGATGACTGGTGTGTTTTGATGTGAGTCCGATAGACGTCTTCCGTAAAAAATTTACGCCCACACTCGTTGCAAGAGAAGTTTCGTTGACGATTTAAATCATGCGTGCGTTGGTGTCGTCGCAGATTGTTGGCGATACTGAATGAACTTGCTGCCAAAATAAAATATTACTTGCCTACGAACTGTGCAAATACTGCAATTTACTTACGGCAAATGTCGCAAAGAAAGATCTTAGGTCTATGATAACGCGATTTATGCTGTCTCAATTTGTTCTCCGGAAATAATTTATTACAATACTCACAAGGCATTTCCTTATATTTTAAACACGGTTTATTCCGTTGCGCTACTTCTTTAACTCTTGTATTTAGTTTTGGATTTTTCTTTCTTACTCTTTTATTTTTGGAGTTATCAATAATGGTTGTATCTTTTTCATTTAAGCAATCAGATATTGAGACAAATGGTGCATCGTGTCCATTTTCGACCTTTCCAGTAATAAAAAATTATTATTAGAAGTGAAGATATTGACAAACTAATAATACCTTTTCCAGTGTGATTTCTTCACATTCAGGGCTGTTGAAGGACCGATCGGCTTTCGAAAGAGCAAATTCTTGAAGACTCGATGTTATTAAACCTTGCGTTATTTGATGAGTTGGTTCTTTTAATTGCAACAAAGAATTCCCACAAGGACCGTCTTCGTTGTTTTGTTGACCATGATTTTTAGAACAGTGTTTATAAGATAATATCGATAATTCCTTTCCTGATTTAAGGTCGCCTCCAGTATCTATTAGCTGAGTAAGAAAATTAAGACGATAGTTGATTGTGTTTGAATCACAGTGAATGAAGTTACACACCGATGAATTGTCCATAAAATCCTCATTTTTAACTAACTCTTGAATATTTACATATTCAAACTCATTGATTTTATTGTCAGTTAAATTATAATGCCCCTGGGCTAAGGCATATAGCTCTTGTGCAGATCTTTGAGCCTTTCTTAAAAACCGATATGAAGTTATCAATTCCTGAATGCAGTCTTGACAAAGGAAATGCATATCCTTAACATAAGATGATGTAGCATCCGCTTTTTTTTACATCCACTTGGGTGCAAATTTGAAAGCATTCCTGATATGTCAACGGTTCGTTTGCTTTATCCATTAATATGTACCAATCAAAAAGCTCCGATATTTTTTTCTCTAGTAAGCACGCGCGGCATAAATTTCTTGACATCCCGGTATAATTAAAAAAATTTAGCTAATGAACAAAGATTAAAATACATTAAAGATTAGTTTTGATAAATTAAAGTTAGGAATGTCGGAAAAACATCGATGCACCGAAAGTATCGATGTTTTGCTTCGATTCATTGAACATTTTCCACTCGATGTACATATATGTATATAAGCGCTGTTCGCGTACGCACTATCCTAAAATTCGGGTACTCTTTATGAATTTGTACAACGATTTTGGGTTGCTGTGCCCAAACGGGTGAATCGATTCAAAAACCTTTTACACACATTTGTAGACAACAGTTCATGCTTTATTACACAAATTTAATTCACTAAATCTGTGGACTAATTTAACAATAATGTCGGTTGGAAATATGGTATTTGTTGCAAATTTCCGAAATATACGCAGCCACTTAATATCTTCATTTTTATGTTTATATTTACTACGCCCTTTGGTATATCTACCACATATTTTTTAAAATTTGGGTGTCAAGAACATTTGTTTACAATTTTCACGTAAAATTTCAACTCAATTCTAATCGAAACAGCGTTGCCGTTTTGGTCCAATTGGACCAAAATTGGTATCTTCATTCTCCTTTGGTAGTTTGGTTGGTTTGATGAAGCTTTTGGTAGGAAAAAATGTTTTGAAAATACAACCGAATTGAGCATTCAGATTTGTTCACTTTGCTCACACATATAAGATATCTTTGTTTATTTTTCTATATTTTATTAAGCAGACAACTATCTGCAAACAAAAACTGCAAAGCAATCTGCAAAGTGCGAGTATATGCAAATTGAAACAAATTTGGAAATTATTTTATTGAAATGCATAGAATGTTTGATTTTGTTCTTTCACATACAAAAAAAAGGCGTTTGATATTAATTGAATTAATAATTGCGTTTGTTTACTCATTTCCAATAAAAGTTTTTACGAATTTTCATGTTTTGGCGTTTTCGTACGCAAAAACTTCAAAGTAGGGGAAATTGAGAGAGCGGAAAATGACAGTTGAAGCTGTAAGTTTTTACTGGATTTTACTGGATAAATTTTTACTTGTAAGAATTTGCCAGTACGAGAAACAGCTGATCGCATGTTGCTGGATGAAATTTAAAACTATTAAGGAAACTGTTTGTTTTATTGTTGAAATTCACAAACTAAACCTATTTAAATATAAAACATTTTCTTTTTTTAGGAAATTCCTGCGAATAAACAACCAATTTATCAGCTGTTCATGAAACTTGCAAATTATTACTGGAATAGCGTTCGCGTACTTTTTTGGAATTTTTTCTATGAGAGCGAATTCTTAGAAATAAAGTTACTGGAGAGTTGCTGGAAAGTTACTGGATAATTTGTAAACCAACACAACTAATCTCAAAGGTATTTAAAATTTTAACCGACCTCACAAAAAGGAGGAAGGTTATCAATTCGTCGGAATATTTTTATTTCATTTTTCTTTTTCTATTTTTTATTTTTTATATATGTTACCGCATAACTTTGGACCACGTTAACCGATTTTTATAATTCTTTTTTTTTTAAAGGAAAGATGTTATCTCACAGGTGGTCCCATTCTAATTTGGTTTAAATCCGATCTGTGGACCATGAAGAGATTCACGATAGTCTTCAATTTTTATATTGAGAATTAAATCGGTTTTGTTTTTTGCTTAAAAATTACTTGTTTACAAAAGTTTTTTATACAATACGATGAATGGTTAACCAATACTATAAACAATATTGTGTGTATTTTTAATTTTTATGCTAATTCGTGTAGCGAAAAACCTCGTTAATTCAAGAAATTTCGTTTTAATAATGAAACCAATTTCGGTAGTTTGGAAACTGATGTGGTAGTCGTTTTGGTACCTAAAAATATTGTCAAGTGGCAATACTGAATCGAAATATAAAAATTAATCAATAAATTTTTAAAAGGTACATCATAAATTTTGCTTTAAATATATCTGTGCCTTAACTTTTTAGTATTTCGAAAATCCGCATATTTATTTTTGCTATAGAAAAATAATTTGGTGGATTTTTTTGCATAAATAAATCTGTATGATTTTTCACAAATTAATAAGAAAATGTTTTTTTCTTTATGATTATGTTTTCTAACTAGAAAACTAGTGTTATACTTGTTTTTGCATCAATTGTGTTGAATCTGTACGACCCACTAGCACTTATATTTCCCGATCTAATTTTTGAGTTGTGCCTCTTTTGACGACGGTGCGCAATATGTATACCCAATAAAAAATATAAATTGGAAAATCTACCACTTCTTATTCAAATCTAAATTTTTTTGCCGATTCTACCACACTAAAATAAGAGGGGGTTTGCACACTGATATTTTGTCTCTTTGAGAGCAAATGATGCTAAATTATCAGAATTTATGCTGCTGGATAATTTTGTCAGCGCAATACGAGTACACAAATTAAATCTGGTAACTTTTGATAAAGAGAGTACCTTATTTACTATTTTATTTTTCCTCTCAGTTGCCAGAGAACCGAGTACGGGATCGACTTCCAGTCAAATCTGGTAAAAAATTGTAAATCCGGATCCATGCGGGATCACAACTGAACCTATCGCTTTTTGCTCTTAATCGAGTAAAAATGCCGCCGGATCATTTTTTATTGCTTCATTAGGTCTCCCATTTGACTCCAAAGCGAGTTATGAAGGTCAAAACCAACAAATCTCGTTTATTGCTCCGAAAATATATCAGCGAGCCTTGTTTTATTGCTCGCTTAAGATATCAATCGTCGCCTGGGTAAAAGATTGTCGTATGTTAATTTCGGCAGGTTGTGGGAAATCGCGATTGTAGTTTGGAATGCAATTTCTCAAAAACGCTAAGAGACATTTTCTCCAAAGCCTGAAAATGTTTCTAGTTCACAAGATTCTTAAATTATTTAATTTTGAATGTTTATTGTTAATTACTTTTGAGTTTATGAAGGATGTTCTTTAGTAAAATTTTGTCGTAAGCGTCATTTGTCCAAAATTTGGCAGCCACTTTGCATGAAATACGGCAGAATGTGATCAAAATTTCTACTAAATTAACGACACTTTTCACTCAATATCTCGGAAACCAAAGGAGATATCCAAAAATGGAGAACGCCATTTTTAAGATATTGATAAGTTTAGTATGACTGCATCACTAACTAAATTTTTACTAAATTATCGAAAAAATTGCAGTCAATATCTCGGAAACTAAAAGAGATATCTAAAAACTGAAAACACCAATCGAAAGACCTTATTTCAAAATATACCTGTATCTAGACTAAAAATCGTCAAAATGGCGCTTACGACATCTTTTACCCAGGCGACGCAATAGAACCATTTTCAGTTAATAGTGGTTCAGATGAAAAGTTGGTTGATTGAAGTGTTAAGTTGGTTAAGCAATTAGCAAGTTTGCCATATTTTGATTCCACAACTCGTGCTACCTACAGCCATTTGCCAGATTTAATGAATTTCAGGATGTCATACGGAGAGAAGCAGCTGCACTCTCAAACATTCTGCAGGAATGACTGGCTGATTGTCTTCAACTTTATCTTTGCGATTCTTGGACACCCGCATAGGATGTGCTCGACTGTATTTTTTGAGCCAGGGTCATCCCAACTGCGACATAACCTTTTGAAGGGTACTCCAAGCCTTTAGTCATGTACTCGAACACGCCAGTTTGTACATAAGTATCTTCTTTGTTCATTCCTAAGAGAACTTTTGTTTTAAGTGGGTCGTAAGACATTCAAAACTGCCTGGTAATCCTTTACTGTACCTCTGCTTGGCTTTCGAGTGATAAATTTCAGCGTGGGACACATTCAGTGCGGAGCCGCACCTAGCTTTGCAGTTCCGTAGTATTCTATAACCTCTGAAATGCAATTAATTATTTGTTTTCGATATCCATCTACATATGTATGTATATTTCTAGATTTATGTTATGTTAGGTTCGTTTGAAGTTTGTACAGTGTTAAATGTGATTAGTATCTCATATCATTAGGCACATTAGGTATATGACTGCATTTGATGTTAACTTTAAAAGTTCGGGCCCAATATGCAATCTGAAAATAAGAGGCTTCCTATATTCAAGTTTTTATTAAGGTATATTTTAAATTAATAACAGACCTCTTCACCATCAATATTATCACAGAAGCTTAAGTCAAGTAACTGTAGCTTTCTACATTTCATCAAAAGCCTGAAAAAAATCCGTTGATTTTTATGTCTCATAATGATCCAAAACACTTACTCATAATAGCGCTCTTTAGATATCCCTGAAACACCCATCAAGTCCA